GTGACTTATAGAGTTTGGTTTTTGTTTGTCGAGAGAGGACTTTGCTACTCAATTGCCTGCTCAGTCCGAAGAAGCACCTGTTGGCAAGAGTTATCCTTGCGTTGTATTCTCTCATCCGAGGCTGTTGTTGCGTTTTCATTGGGGGTGTTTTTTTACGTGGCAAGAGGATACTTGGTCAAAGACCGGAAGTCGTTCGTGAGTTGCTTGAGACATATGTAAAAGAAACGTTTCTGGCCACTCCCAAGTGAATGGCGATCAGAGAACTTTCCTCACTTGCGTGAACTTCTACACATGTCTCCATCGTCCACTTAAATAAATAATAATTCGGTATTTTGCTCTTTGTACTTTCAAAGTGCTTGTTGGGTAACATAGCTCTTGCTTGATTTGCTCTATTTGTCGTACTCCGCTGTTGTGCGCTCACTTTGACATTTCATTTGTTGACCCCACTGTAATCACAAACACACATGTGTACAAACCATAATTGCCGTAACATCCGCTGGCAATTATGTACAGATAATTGTAATTTATTTGTTATTTGTAATAGTTATTATTATTCGTACACTTTCGCTTAATTGCCCGACAAAAACCACATACACTCTCAAAGTTATTCATCACTTTCTTTCTGATCTATTTTCAGGCCTACGAATACGAATTGCCGACTTGTTTTTTAAGTTACTAGCATGTGTTCTGTACATATTACGTGTGATAACGGATACGAATCCAACCTTTGCAACGTGGTAAGTGAAATTGTCATAAATCTTTTTCTTTCTTGAAAATTTACTTCAATTCTACTAATTACTTATTCTTAGATAATATATTGAAGGATATTGCAGGAATAGCATAAACTAGAAGGGCTGAATCAGCAAAAAAGCAAAAATTTGAGAGCAAAGTTTCCCTATACCAGCTTGTTCAATAAGTTTTGTAGTTCGATAAGGGAGAGGGAGTTACTATTAGCTATTTTTTTTTTTTTTTTTTTTTTTTTTTTTTTTTTTTTTTTTTTTTTTTTTTTTTTTTTGTTATATATTCAGTTAAATTTTGGGTTTTAGAAAGCTTTGTACACAATGGGTGCCGCATTCGCTAACAATGCGCAAACATCAATTCTTCACTAAAAATGATACCTGGGTCTATCACCATGATCGTGAATCATACCAGAGGCTAGAGAGTGGTGTGAACCTGGTTGTTTGGCTTTGAAATGAGTTTGTATCCGACCAAGAAGGTTATGGCAGCAGTCTATGCGATGCGAGAGGAATTTTGTTTGTGGATTACTTGCAAACTAGTAAAATATTTAATTCGGAATAGCAGTGCAACATCTTGGACTAATTGAAGGAAAAAATTCGTGAAAAAAGACCCGGCTTGTAGAAAAAAAAATTCTTTTTCACCAGGACAATGCACAAGAGCATTTTGACAATGACTAAAATCCATGAATTAAGATGCGAATTATTCTAGCTCAAAAAAATGTATGCGTGGCAAGCGATTTTCATCAAATAAAGAGGTTATAACGGCTGTTGAAGCGTATTTTGCAGACCTTCCGGATTCTCACTTCAGGGATGGGATCCACAGATTGGAGCACCGTTGTCATGACAAATTGTTCACTTAGCAAAGGAAATAGTCTCTAGTTAGTTAGGTGAATTTTTATACTCTCTCTCTCCGCCTGTCCGTCTGTCTCTTCGTCCGTCCGTGCAAGCTGTAACTTGAGTAAAAATTAAGATATATGGATTGAACTTACTACACATGGCCTCGGTAAGAAAGTAGAGATGCGTTCGTGGATGGGCGAAATCGGACCACTGTCGCACTAAAATGAGATATAAAATTCTAATTTGGCATGGAAGATCGCAGTAGTCTGTGGCCTGGAAGTGAAAAAGTGAGAGGGTTCCAGACCCTGAGTACCGAATATTTCGACCGCAGAATGAAAATAAGAAAGCGCGTGTTGGTGTCGATTACACCCGAAATTAGCTCTTCCTTACTTGTTATACTAAATAGAACAGGTCAATTAAAAAGTCCCAAGTGTACCATAGGGAAACTAATTTTTTGCAACATAGTTCCATTCAGCGGTGGTACACTGATTAAACCGATCGTACAACCGTTGTCCTGTGCTTTGAAAATTTTCAAACGTCAAATTTCTTCCCGACAAGATTTGCAGTTGAATGCAGACGTAACTAAAGGTCCCTTGCATGGATTTTGACATAGTTTTCAGTGATTAGTTACACGATAGAATGCCGATGCGTTCATTTTTCAGCGAAGTCGTCTTTCAAATAGTTCAATACCGCTTTATAATAGTAGATGTTGATGGCACTTTTTTATTTCCAAAGTAGTCCAAAATAGAGACCTTTTTCCATGCTTTGGAGCGATTTAATCGTAAGCAGCCCACTCGGATGACTGTCGATTGGACCACGGAGTAAAATGATGGAGTCATATTTCAACCATCGTCACATATTGGCATAAAAAATCGGATTTATTATGCCTGAGCATCTTCAAACATTGCTTCGAATCACCAACTCGACGTTATTTTTATTCAAAAGTGACCGCGGCAGGCAACAACTGTGTACTGAGCTTTCTCATATCCAAATATTCAATTGACGGTCAACTAAAATTATTTTGTAAACTCTTTTATTGTTTTCGTCGGTAATAACTACTTTGGGACGTCCACTGAATCCACCCTCTTCGGTGCTCATTTCACCATGTCTGTACTAAGCATACCCACCCTTGATGGTTGACTACCCCGAGGCACTCATCATCGAGTCATGTTTTTGCTTCAAATGGATTTTTTCCCTTCAAAAAGCAATATTTTATCAACACGGAAAATTGCTTTTTATTCCTTTTTTGGCAATAGCAAAAGTTTATTCACTCAAAATGATATAATTCACAAACTAACCGACAGCAGTCAAATTTATACACGCGCTCGTTGAAGGATAGATCTAACTAGCAATCAAATAGATTTATTTCATAGAGTCCAGAATGCAAATAATATTTCGTATCCTTTGGACTTACGAGCACTACTATGGAATCCCTTTTGTAAAATAATGGAAAAGGTATTTCCGAAGAACGTAAAAAACATATGTTTAATCTCGAAATTAAATAAAAATGTGTCTCTTAGTCGGTTCCTATCAAATTTTGATAGTATTATACTATAAACTAAATTAACGATATTAAATAAAATAACCACTTTTCTTTCCCATTTTAGTTATGGCTGCTCAGTGAGCAATAAAACAGAGTTCCTCGTTTCGGCACAACTAACGGAGGAGGAATTCCAGGAGAATCCCATTATAAATTGGGAAGCTATTTTATGGGTGAATCGGCCCACAGTATTGTGGGCAGCGCAATTAATATTAGCATTAGTATCTCTCACAGAGGCCGTACTACTAACATATCTAGGCTATAAGGTGAGTACAACAAGGAGAATTAAAAAAAAATAAAAAATAAATTTGTTTAAATAAAAATTATAGCAATTTATTTAACTGACATTTTATTTTAATGTAAGCAAGCAACTTGAAGATATACACAAGCATTCTAGAACGTGTTGACAGTTCCATAAATTTACCTGGCCACACTTATTATTTATGTTATACTATTTTTGTATGAGTAAAGCAAGTACAACAAGTACTCTTATATTCACGCTGAAAACTACCATGCAAAATGTAGCTTAATGAGCAAATGGCATGAGAGTTAATGTCATAATGACTTATTATACATACATACATGCTTTAAGCTTGAGCGCTAAATTCTATCTATATAGTTTGACTAATATTAAATTTACTTTTTTTTGCACATTACTGTAATTTTTAGCAATTACCTTAACATTAATTTATTTGAATTCTAATACTGAATTATTTTCATTCACAGGGTAATATCTGGCAACAGATTCTTTCGTTTCATTTCATTCTAGAATTAATTACGACAATACCATTTGCATTAACGGTAAGTAATGATTACATTATAGAGTAGTACATAGTTATATACTATATGTTTAAGATTTCTCTTAGCCATGATATACATTCTAACCTTACCTACGTGGTTACTCCTGCATAGCTTGTAGCTCAGTACACTGAGGCCACAAATGCATAGCTGTTCTGTGGCCACGCTGCTAATTAAGGCTACTAAAACTAAATTACTGTCATGCAGATATATTTGTGGAAGACGCATTAACAATTGTTATATTCGCATCTGCCTGAGAGTCGCTCAAGAAATCTCTCTCAGTGAATAGTTTTGACCTCAGACGACACAGTACAACCACCTAATCGGCAGCATCGCCGTCAGACTTGCAAGTTGTGATTCTCTCTTTTGTGAATCCATCGTTGGTCTACTCGCTACTTTTCGCCAGTGGTTCGATGAATTGTTTTTTCAGTAACAGTGTCATTTTTGATCTCCATACGAGATTCTGCTACGGGTTGCTCGAAGGCCTTGAAAAATGTCCACCTTTTCATAGGCAGATTCGTGTTACCATCTGTGATACATTATCTGATCCAGCTGCGATGATTTAGCCAGGACACAAACCTTTGCTCTTAGCCTGAAGAGGATATCCTTTTTACCTCACCGCTACCAGCTTCGCTTCGTAATATACCTCTCCGAACTTAGCTACAGCGGCTTTGTATAGTTCAATCGAATGAACGACATCGGATCCCTCTAGCATATATTATCTGCTATACAAACAGAGTTCAGAATAAAGTGCTTGTAGGGAGAACTTTTTTATTTGCCGATGCATATAGGCCTAATAGGCGACTGTCTGGATAGTAATGAGATCAATGAGCTTTAGTAAAGAAATCTCTAAACCGTGGTAAACTTTCAGACTTTAATGATATTTAGATTAGCCTTCCTAATGAATAACACATTTTTTGGGGCTGTATGCATTTTAAAAATTGTGTATGTGAGCATTTGCTCTGTTTATTTTATACTTACTAAAATATCGTTAAATCTAAAATATTAAATAAAACTTGGTCGATATTTATCGATTAATATATAACAAGCAACACTTCATTTTCCAGATACTATGGTCGCCTTTAAGAAACTTATTCATACCCATATTCCTCAATTGCTGGCTGGCGAAGCGATCGTTGGAGAATATGTTCGTAAGTATCTTATTGAAAAATAATCAAAAAAAAAAATAATAATAAATTATATAAAAACTAATATTTCCTTCAAAATATATATATAATATTTCTTTAATATATGTATAATGTATTATATATATACTCGTATCTATATCTTCTAATACTTTTCTTCGCAGAACGATCTACATCGCGCCATGCAAAAGTCACAATCCGCACTCTCGCAGCAACTCACTATACTATCCGCCACGCTGCTATGTCTGGTGTTCACAAGGTAATTACGAAGTCTTCCAAAACTATAAGTTAACTCATAAAGAATGTTGAGCGCGCTAATGGCACGTTTGCAGCGGCATTTATGTAATCAGAAAATGTTGCTGCAATTAAACTTAACTAACGTTGTAGTTACTAAGGCTCATTACAAACATAGACTAATATAACATACAGTAATATAAACAGACACTCATATGCACAAAACTGTTGACAGCACTTAGTAGCGTTCAACCTAGAAACTGTCCATTGCAAATTTTCGGCAATCTAATTTTAGGTGCTCTTAGCTCATAAGTATGCTCAACACAACCTTCCAACTCAGTCAAAACACACTATATGTATGTGTATATGCATATGTACATTAGCGTGTGCGTTACTTCCGCTTTCTCTGGAAACGCCAATGAAGTTTCAGTCTTTGCATAAAAAGCGTTAAATTTTCCCACATAGAGATGAGCCATAATATATTTCTATTTTTCCAAATACAGATTTTTTTTCCCGACTTTTTTTTAATTCTTCTCTTAAATTTTTTTTTCGCGAAAGCTAATAATTATATAAGTTGGAAAGAGTAATATTCTAATACAAAATTCTCTGCTCCACAAAATTGGTTTGAATAGTTTTTTCATGAATATATTGCTTTAAAAGTTATACGCAGTTAAAGTAATGCATCAAATGTACTGCACTCACATGAGTGGTACACCATGTCGTATTAGCAACGCAGAATGATATATCAAAAAGTTCCATGTTATACACTACATATGAGTCGAATCTATAAACTGAAACTGCAGCCAGCGTTTAAAAAAAAAAAACATAAATTTAGGAAATAACGCACACCCTAACGTATATACATACATAACTCATACATACATATGTATGTGTATACATTTTCACATATGCTGATGGCTGTTGCAGTCATTTGTAGATTTTCATGTTTTCCCCTTCCAACTCGTTTGACCTTTAGTCCTTTACGACACTTATTAACTTGTTGTCAATACTTATTACCACATTTTCATCCGCTCACTTTCTCATACACACACAAACCTATACTGTACTTCTCTGCTATTGGCTTCTCATTTGCAGCGTCTGTGGCATACAGCATTTTCAACGCGCCGGTCATCGTCATTTGAATTTGTTCCAGAGCACGTATTATGTGGTTGTGACATTCTCAACAGTCGGTTATGGCGATTTCGTGCCCGATATATGGCCCTCACAGCTTTATATGGTGATTATGATTTGCGTAGCTCTCATAGTGTTGCCGACGCAGGTAAGTACCAATTAATTACATATTCATATACATATGTATGCTTATATGTATATTTGTGGTATACAAGTAGACAGAGTGGTAAAATGTCAAAGGCATTTATACTAACAGGCACATAAACAATAATATTTTATACATAGTATAATAGAATCATACAGGAGGCTCAGATAAAAATTGATATTTTCCGAGAATGCACAGCTTGAATTAAATAGCAATATTGGATAGGTCGGCATATTTTTATAAAAACTCGAAGTATCTTTGTTCTTGTACTTCTTCCGTCATACTTTAGGTATCGTCTACAAGGTAAAAACAAAAAAGAACAACATATATATACACAGGCTAACACCTCGACTAAGCAAGCTTAACTCAGTCTACACCAACTGCCATGAAACAAATCATTGACTATTAAGCCGCTTGATCTCTAAATCTGACAGACTTTGTTGATGAAAAATGCTGCCTGTTGAGGATCTCTGACTAAACTAGCAGAACAATTCCTCATTTTGAAACAAAAAGCTGTAATGATGATTGCCAACAATTATTTCTCAGATGAAAGCACGATCCAAAAGTTTTACATAATTTTTCTCTCAATCTTGTCGAACTTGAGTGATAAAAATATATAAAATTAACGAAGAAAATTGTATGAAAACAGATTTAATATTGTATCTGGTAGACATTATAGTCATTAGGTGTACAACATACCATTTTCTGTTGGAAATTTTTATAGACACTGATGAGAAAACTTTTACACCAAGCTGCAGACTTTTTACATTGTCCGATTCATTAAGGTATATACAACCGCAGATCCCTGTTAAGATCAACCTCGATCGCTTGACCAAACCCAACTTAGTCGAATAAACTCCGAGCAGATTACGTTTGTATAAATATTCTAACTTTTTCTTTATTTTGTTGATATCGTTTACTTCAAGACTCGCATAATCCAGAGCTAAGGAAACCGTTAAGAAACTAAATAATCCTCAGACTCTTTATACTTCGAAGAGAAAATCTTTTGAAATCACTACCAATTTTCCAATTTTTCTAAGGTACCTAAAAAATAAAATTTTCTACGCTGTCAAAGTCAGCTGATCCGGACCGAGTGGATGCATGATTCATATTGTGCGCTGAAGTACAGTACGGGAATACGCCCAAACAGTGTCAAATAACTATGCTGGACTTACGGCCAGTATGCATACATAAGTATATACTAAACACATAACTCCGGCTGCTGTAGCTTATATTTGGACCTGCTCGACCGCCGTTAAGCAGTACTTTGCAACGCCAAGCTGGACGTTAATGCCTCTTCACACCCTTCGTCTAGGGTCATTCATGTGGCCTAATGCTTCTCCGCTATTGATCTTTCAATCTTAGTTGTAGGAGCGCTCTTTCAATTTCGCCCACACCAGCTCATATTGCAGCATGTGACTCACTATGTTGTCGAGTGTCATCATTGCGTTTGTTAGAGCTTCTATGGTGGTTCACTCCACCTGGTGCAGGAAAAAAGATTTGCTCTGCGTGTTTCGTAGCCAAATTTGTGTAGCTGTTGCCTAAAACAGTCATAGCCCAACAAGTAGTGTGTTAAATAGAAGTCTGTCTTACCATGCTGTCTGTCAATCCAGGCTGGCCTACTTTGGCTTGGCCCACCAATATTTGCCATGATTCTCGACAGGACCACAGGCACAGTAACCGCCTTACCAAAGGCTTTTTTTATGTGCACCTTGAAATTGCGCCTCATAACGATCACAACACCGAGGTAACTCAATGAATTGTGTGTTACACAGTTATAGCGATTAATGTTCGGTGGACCGTTCCTACATAAAGTTCGACGAAAACCCTCTTGCTATATTTGATGGCGATTTTCAGTGCCTTATTTGAGATACCATCAAGTTCTGGTGCCTTTACGTTGCGAAATCTCTCCGCCACTTCCACTATCACCTTCTTGGCGACTGTTGAGGCTTCCAGCATGGCTGGTATCTTTTTGTTCGATTGAGGCTTCTGTGTTGGGAAAAGAGTTTTCACCACCTATTCTAAGAGGTTGGTGCTTCACTTTTGCCATCTCTGATTTTCGTCGTGACTATTTATATGTATACGTCGTTGCACGGATTCTCGCATAATTCTTTAAAATTTGAGAATTGAACAGGGCATAATCGTACTTAGTTGGTTACCCAATTTTTAATATTCAGTGCGATACGTCAGATACCAGCATGACAAGCTGAGCCGCTTTTACACAAACTTCAGGTTCGATTTCTGCTTAAGAAACCACTTAAAGCTTAAGAACTAGTGAGTCTAGTGAGCATATAGCTGCCATATAAACTAATCAATTAAAAAGAAGTCATTGTATGAGAAACACTTTTAGTTGGCAAAATATCTTCCCTATAAATGACACAGACTATCGGGAAAGACAAGACTACATTCTCTGAACATATTGTTCATATTGTAGTCATACAAACTTACCCATCAAAGCCGAGTTTTGTATGGAAAACTTGTTTTTTTTTATTTAATGAGATATTCTCGTGCAATTTACCACAGAATATTATCCAAGGCATAGATACAATCTCATTGTTCAGATCGAAATACTATTTGTTGAGCTGTCATAGAAATTGACCGCTCAAAATCAAGTTCTTGTAAGCTAAACTTGAGCTTTTGAGCCTGTAAGCGAAGTAAGCATTATTTTTTTTTCTTGTTTTACCTCAAACTCGTCTGATTAAATAAATAAATCCAATGATTCAATATTAAGCGTCAAACCTTCGTCAATATTCCGACTGACTTTGACAACTGTCTCAACTGTGCACCTGTTTTTGCTAACCGTTCACCCTTTATAGGTAATGTTTGGCGCTTCAATTTGTGTCAAATACTTTGCACTACTTAAAATACTTCAATTGCAAACACACACATATACATGTACGTACGCCCACATGTGGGTATTTCTGTGCCGGACTAATGGTTCTTATATTTATTGACATTGCGCTTTAATGGTAATGACAGTGGCGGTTATCGGTAGTAAACACACAGCTAAATATAATTAACCGCCATTTACACTCTATGTATGTGTTTGCTTTTTAAATTAATTTAAGCGCTTTTCCATAATAAGTAATTTCAATTGCATGAATGTTGCAGTAATTTGCTTTGACACTTTAATTAACGGCGCGAAGGTCCAGACCGGCGCTAATAGAAAGTAAAGTTTCGAAAGCGCCACATTATATATTGCATTAACATTTAATTATCTAATGGATTTCTCAGTAAATAGCACGTTGGTTTTTTTAAAGCCTGAAGTTGCCCACTTTGTGTTTACAGTTACAGTGTGACACACAAGTGCTGGTACAAAATTTACTAGAACATTCTCTCATGCGTACAGAACTTAGATCAAAGTATCTCATTATGTCCCAATGGAAAATTAGTTGCTAACATATTTTTTAAATGATTGCAATCATTTGAAAATGTCTCCATTCATTTCTGCAATTTGCATATAATAACCTTAATTCAGTCTTTCGGCTACATAGTATGCGTTCCGTTAGAAATCCGAACTGATTTCAAACTTATAAGATCATATGTTTTCAAATGACTTAGACCAGATTCAGAATATCAATTTAACTGACAGTTTTCAGAGCTCAAGCTATTGTCAGAATAATTAGAATAAGACAGGAAGCAATCAGAAGGAGATTATGCCATCTGTTTCACAATTTTAAGTAAAAAGTAAAAGTTCGAAACCTATATAATTTATATATAAATATTTTTTTTTAATAAAACGAAACGAAACGGTTGAAATAAATCCAAACTTTTTAAGAAGTGGTTCATTTAATTTCACTAATATAACAGACATATTGACAGACATAAAGTGACGTGATAATTGGACGACGGGCGTGTCACCGCAACCACGCACACTTCCCATATAAGATAATTTTAAATTCCACTTGATTCTTTTACTTTCCAGTACACAAATCAGGAAACAATTGATTTAACGGGTCAAAACTTTGCACAGAAAATTTCTTTCAAGTTTGCCACATGATGACCAAACAAAACTGTTCACGACCCTGGATACTAAATATGTGGACTCCAGTACAGATAGTTGACTCTTGATCGAAAATATCGGTCGGTATGTGAGATATATATTGTATAATTTAAATTCAGACGGAAGCCTTTCCTGAGAATAGTTATTCTGTATACTAAAAATAGGTTCAATCGGATCCATACATCCCCTAAGCCCCCATATATGTACTTTACATAGATAAAAAATGTTGGAACTTTTAGGTGACTTTATTCTGAATATATCCGCCAATTATTGAGTTATCTCATTGAAAATGCAATCAAAATCAGAAGATCTTTTACTCATAACAGTGTATCTTTGTGCCTAAAATAAATGAAAAATTTCGAAAACTTGACCAACCCCAATATAGCTAATATCAGGATTTTCGAACTTCCGGCTGACTTTGCTCCATAAGATTGTTTATTGTACATATGTGTAGAACCTTAATGAAACACAAGGCACATATTTTTAGTTTATGGCGTGATAATAGTTAATGGATAAAATTGGGTCGATACTAATCCAAGTCCTATATAATAATTACATACAATGACTTTCGTTTTTCTCACAAATCGTATGCCGAATTTTTCGGTCAATATATGAATTATATGGTATGTACTAATGTAGTATAAAATTTCTTGGATTCCGATCTCCTGTTTGTGGTTTTACATCTTGTGGTATTTCCCTGGTGTTGATTCTTGCAAGTTTCAAGAGTATAAAATGTGTGGTTGCACCCAAATTTAGGACTCCTTTGAAGATCATCTCTTTCAAATATTGGCCGCGCTTCGCTCAATTATTGCTCATCATAATCGGCTAACTGAGCGCACTATTCACAACACCATCCCCCATATTGAGACCCAGCATTTATCGCTGAATAACATTCGACGCCACATTCAGCACGCAGTCAAGAAAATATGGCATCCATAGCTAAGAGTGTACACGAAGACCATGTCGGGTCTATTCGGCGCTCTTTTCGCTCTTGGACAGATGTGTATATGGATTATATTTTGATGTAGTGGCTTCCAATTTAGACGACATGTTTTTCTTTAAATGTTATATTTGTGTTGCTAACAGATCCTAAGTTCAACGAGCTATTCGTATACGCTTAAGTAGGAAATAAAGCTTTGTAAACATATTTCGACAGGTTTGTGGTTATAATTTACCTCAAAGTCTTTGACGGATGATCCCTGACAGATCTCAAATCATCCAAATGCCTCTCAAAATAGATGTGAACTTAGGACACATTACCTTAAAACTAAATAAGTTGCTACATCGACTTGCCTAGAAACGGGCATCTTTGTACCTTTTGTTGGGAACAAAAACCATAGTTCATCAAGGATGAACTGAAGTTCGGGCTTAGTTATAAAAAAGGAGAGATTTCATGAGCAAACCTTCGAAATATTTGAGATTTTTGTCAGAGAGAAGAGCAAATCGTGATTAGATGATTGCTCAGACCAGAAGAGCAGTTAACGCACTACAACTCTTCAAAGCATCAACAACAAAACTTTTAGTGAAAGCTCTATGGAAGTTTTCTAAATTTACTTTTTCTTGAACGTTAGCGATCCAAGTATTTATATTTCGCACATTACCGTTTGTCAAAACAACTTAACCGTTAAAACTTTTTCCCATCCCCACACGCACACAAACCACCAGTTTAATGACGAAAGAGCAAAGCATGTATGGTTTTATGTCGCAGCGGTCAACTGGACCGTTAACTGAGCAAATATAGCAACTATGGCAACACGTAGAAAATTGCATTCGAACGTTAAATGCATAAAGTTTTTGTGTTTGGCTTTGGTTTTCCGTTTATTTTTTCAACTCTTTTCTTAATAATGAAAGCTCCGCAGAAATTCCTGTATGTGTTTGTGTGTGGGCGAACACAATAAGTGCTTCCCCAAGCAAATGCACGCATAAAAGAAATTGCGAAAACTCAACTTCAGCAAACTATTGAGAGCTTTGAAAACTGAATAGCAGCCTTGATTGGCAAGTGTACGAGAATTCTTCGGGAAGAAAGCAAGAAAAAGCGACTAATTGAAGTGACAACAAAAGCAAAAAACGTAAATATTTGGCGAACTAGCTTTGTAGCTTTGTCTGTCACCGAAAGTCATGCGGGCCGCCAGTCAACCGTCAAACAGCCGAGTGTTGAGTGACCGGCATAACTGACCTAGCCGACTGACGGCGTTATTGCAGCGCTGCTGTTGATTGGCGGCGCTATTTGACATGCACAAATGATTTCGGGCCAAAACACGCCAAGTCCACTGACATATAACCACGCAGACACCTAGATTGCCTTTTTTTCTGTATACCAATTTTTTCACAAAAAAAAAAAAATTTTAATTTCAAAAAAATTTTACTGTCGCAATCTCACGTTTTTTTTCCTAGTTCGAGCAATTGGCCTTCACTTGGATGGAGCGGCAGAAGTTGGGCGGCAGCTATTCATCGCATCGCGCGCAAAGCGAAAAACACGTCGTCGTCTGCTCGACCACGCTGCACGCGGACACAATCATGGACTTCCTCAACGAATTTTATGCGCACCCATTGCTACAGGACTACTATGTGGTGCTGCTCAGTCCCATGGAGTTGGACACCACGATGCGCATGATATTGCAGGTGCCGATTTGGGCGCAACGGGTCATTTATATTCAGGTGAGTGCTCGGACCTTGGATTCCATAACGGTGATTTAACAAACGCCGATATTCGCTTACATGCGACGCACTTGTGTTAATCAAATCAAGCGTTTAATACTCATTCGCTTTCTTTCGTTTCTGTACTTTTCTTTTTTTTTTTTTAATCGCAGGGTTCTTGTTTAAAGGATGGCGATTTGGCACGTGCGCGCATGAATGAGGCCGAGGCTTGTTTCATACTCGCCGCTCGTAACTATGCCGATAAGACTGCAGCCGACGAGCACACGATATTGCGTTCGTGGGCGGTTAAGGATTTTGCGCCGAGTGTGCCGCAATATGTGCAGATATTTCGGTAAGTAGGCGGGTGAACTATTTTTTATAGCGGACAAGGAGATTTAGCCAAGCTTATGAAAGGTGTATGCTCGGAAGTGCCACAAGAACCGTTTTTATTACATAAATATCAACTCTAAGAAAACCTTCGAACGAATTGCGGAGGACGGCGACTCTACCATATTACCACATGCGATCCTCCGCAAGGCATAAAAATCTTATTTTGTTGTCTGCAAGTCTAATGAGATTGGCAACTCCCCATTTATAGATCCAAAAAAGCGGGAGGCGTGCTACCGTCTTCCAATCCAAGTTCGCATAATTTCTACCACTGATCAACTTCACGAGTATATAAATTGACTAACGGAAATAGGGAGAGCAATAATTTCACAATAAACTCTAGCTTTTAATACCGGTGACCCATATTTTTGAGTACCAACTCTATAACTATCGTAGTCGAAGCCTTTTAAGTCGTTGAACTATGTCAATATCGTCATATATCTGATAAAACTCATCGTTCCATCGAAAACGCTTTTCGACATTACCAATACCTAAAGCATCATAAATCTTCCACAGAAACTTTCCCTTTAACACTCCTAAGCCCGACTCATCAGATGATGTTCTTGTCCATGCCTCCGCATCATATAGCAGGATGGGAATGATGAGGTTCTTGTAGAGTTTGGTCTTTGTTCGTCAAGAGATGACTTTACTTTTCACTTTTCTACTCAGTCCAAAGTAACACCTGTTGGAAAGAGTTATTCTGCGTTGGATTTCAATGACACCATTATTGGTGGTGTTAATACTGATTCCACGATAGACGAAATTATCTACGACTTCGAAGTTATGAAAATCAACAGTGACGTGTGTGTCAAATCGCGAACGCGACGACTGTGTGTTCGAAGACAGCAGATATTTCGTCTTATCCTCATACACAAGCGGACCCTTACGTTTCGCTTCCTTATCCAGTCTAAAGAAAGCAGAACTAACGACGCGATTTTTGAGAACACTAGCCGAAGAAGAAAGCTTTACGTCTTATACGCATATTCACATAAATCCAACGATTCGTCTACTTCCATTTTAGATTGATTTCAGGGTAAAAAACGTTCCTTGTAGAAATGACATAGAAAGCTTTCGCAACTGGAACGTGAATTAGTCGACATGGATAGTCGTTTAAACGCGATGCTCAGTACGTTTGGTGAGAGAGAAAGAGGGATAGAGAGATAGAAAGAGGGATATACATATATTTTGAAATGTGTCGTCTGGCAGTTTCTTAGTAGGTAAAATGCAAAACATGTTCCGCTTTCAAAATGCAAATGCATGTTCCGCACAATTTCCAAAATGAAGACACCATGTGACACGTGTGCGTTAACTTGATAAACTAGATACGGTAAGGCAAATACAAGCTTCATTTGGTACACTAAATTCAACAATTTTCCGAGAAAAACTAATAAGCAACGTGACCTCGATTTAAGCAAATAAAAATTTGAGCTCGCCGAAAGCGCATTGCAACACTGGCTCGAACTGTTCAAATGGCAGCCATTAATCTCGCTAAGCAGCTCCGCTTCGGCACACGCGCCGCGAACAAAATATGCAAAATAAAGCTGGAAGGCGCACCACGATGATAAATGGGCGCACAGCTCGAATGTCCGCAAATTTGCTGGGCAACAATGAAATTTTAGTACGGGAAAGGTTAATTGGAATGGTGGGGTGGACAACAACAATGTGTTGTACATATACGTATTGTTATTGTTGGTGGTGTAATTATGCTTATAATTGCTTTTTAATTATGACCGTATAACAACAACAATTGGATACTTTATTCATATCAAATGTTTGCTTTTGTTTTTGTTTTTGTGCATTTTTCATGAAACCCCCCGCCTGCAACATTCGACGCGCGTAAACTGAACCTTCGCGTCACACCACTTAAACTAATGCACTGCAATAACAACAATGCGACGCTGTGGCATGCAACAAACGCAACAATGGCTGGGATTTAAATGGATTTCGGGCAACTCAACGCGGCTTGGTTCACTCGCAACCGCCACGAACTCATTTCGGTTTTATGCGGCGGCTATTGTTGCTTGTCGTCCTCGGTTCGCTGTTTGTTGTGGGTAACCGTTCAACCGTTCAATCGCCGAACTACAAACCGTCAAACCGCCAAACCGCCAACCGCAGACCGGAGCACAAGCTTCATGTGAAATTTGCGGAGCACGTCGTCTGCGAGGACGAATTCAAATACGCGCTGTTAGCCAATAACTGCACTTGCCCCGGCGCGAGTACGCTGGTCACACTGCTCTTGCACACCTCACGAGGACAGTAAGTAAATGCTTTAATTTTTCGTAATATTCCTTAAATTTTAGTATTTAAGTATATGAAAATTTTTAACGAATTTAAGCACACAATTTCCAGAGATCGAAGGCACTTGGTTGAATACGGCTTACTTGTATTAGTTTATATTATATCTATATATTGTTATAAGCTCGACTTTAAAAATTATTTTCTCTTCGAAAATACTTAAAAATAAGAAAACTCGTTAAATTCGTCTTCAGCGAGACTATAAACTCCTCATAGGTACATTTTTTGTAGCAACTAATAGCATAAAAATATATTTTTCTTGAGTTCGTACAGGTCAGTTTATATGACAGCTATATTTTACAGTGGTTCGATCTGAATAATTTCTTCGAAGATTATAGATATGACTCTGCTCGTCACGCTCTTTATTTATATAAATTTCACAGGTCAATTGGAAAGTACCAGGCTGGGCCACAGTAAAATACATTATTTTGACTAAATGCCTGCTTATAGCGACCCGCTAACTTTTCAATAATATTTTTGTAGTACGGTTTCTATTTGCTTCAAAATATGCCTCGGTTACAGCGATCACCTCTTTTTCGAAAATTTCTTCACAGTGAGAATTCATTTGCATGAAAACAGAAAAAAGTTGTTTGGGCTCATGTTGTGCAGTTCACTCGAATGACTGTCGATTGAGCTTCGGAGGGAAGTTTCGGCTTTATTATTCTATCACATCTTCGAATACTGGTGCGAATGATCAACTCGTTGATGTGTTGTTGGTTTTGTAATGGCAGGTGATGATATCTGTGAAAGCACCCTAGAAGGAACTGGTTGAAGTGGAGTTCATTATGCTCCTTAACTGGGAGCATACGGGCCACACTTTGCAGGTGTTCGATGGGAAACATCAAGAGATATACTGTCGAAGTGCGGAATGCAGTGTTCTGACTTTGTTTAGATACCTCGTCTGCTTTTTCCTGTATCCAGGCGAGCGTATTAGTACGGCGTAGTTAAGGACCGGCCGGCTAATTGCCATGTATGTTTCCAACGACGCTTCTTTGTTTTTCCCCATGTGCTGCCGACTAGCGATAAGTTCCGTGCCGCAAGGAAGCGACATAGGTCGTAGAGATAGCCGTTTACGTTTGAGCACATATAATCGATTCCATTGCACAACGTCATTATCGTGCAATCGTCAGCGTTCAAGGTGATAGAAATTCCCTGCGGAAGTTTCGAGATTTCGGAGTTCTAACCACGTTTACAGCAGATCTTTAGATCATCAGCTCGTCGTCTGATTTGGTCAAAAGTGAACTCCCCCAGCACCCACTTTGCACAGTGCTTTTGCATATGCAAATATTTATTCACAATTCCTTTGATATCTACAGAGTTTCAGATATCTCGAACAACTTCATTCTATGCTCATCCAAAATTATTTTGTGGAATCTTTTGATGTTTTCAACGGTAAGAACTTCACCGTCTTCGGTGCTCATTTCACCACGTCTAAAGTTAGCATACCAATCCTTGGTAATGGATTTTCCAGGGACAATGTTCGGGAACTCATCACCAAGCCAAATTGTTGTTTCAACTGTATTTTTTGCCTTCACACAGCATTATTTTATCAATAGGTTAAGTTCTTTTTTATCAATTTCTTATGAATTTGTTAATCTATAACATATGTATGTGGGGTTAGGGGAATATTTTCACCCGATTTTATACAGTTTTACCATACGACATTTCACTAAGATAAAAAAAGTTCTTTAAATTTTAATGAGACATCTCACGAACTGACCAAAGTATAAGGTATAAAGTCAAGCGGATTTTTGAAATTGAATATATAGGGCTTAGGGGAAGTATTGGCAAGTAAAGCCCAGATTTCACAATTTTAGCGAAGTGGATGAACTGGCTATTAGAAAGAGATTATTGCTGAATTTCATTAAAATTTCTTACATTTTGGCCGATAGATATGGTATAAAATCAACCGGTAGTTCGAAAATATTTATATTAGGTATATGATGGCTCAGAGAAGTATTGACTCTATATTGAGACAAATCTGTTCATATTATAGAGATTAGCCATGAGCTAAGAAGAAAAGAAGAATATTGCCACTTTAATAAGTTAACTTTTTACTTAAGCCGACTATGCCAGATAATACGTGATAATACGTTGAATGACTTGCATGCCAATATGCTTTAATACTGGTATAAAATGCCAAATATATGTGTGCTTGCATTTGCTTAAAGGCACACGAGTAGCAAGATCCACGCATGTCTACAAAAAAGTTTGTACTAATGGACACGACCTCCACTGGACGCGTGAAACCGGGTCAAACGGAAACGTGTGTGTAAATATTTATGTACTTCTGCTACACAAACAACAATACTAACGGTCATGCATTTACACAATAGTTGTCATACTCATGGCGCTAACTGTAATTTTTTATTTATTTCTGTTTTGCTTGTTTTGTAAAAGAAAAGTTGCGATGAGTAAGCATACAACAGTGTACAGTGGTGGCGAATATAGAAAAAATATTTGCAAAATAAAAATGAAACAAAAATGGATACAAGTTACATATACCAAAAACAATTGATCCAAATTCAAGAAGACAAATCTTAATTATCCCCTTAAAATGGGTGAGTTTATTGTCAAAATAAGTACGGCGATTCTATTTTTCATACACCTATTAGAAGCTTGGGCTATGATAATATTCAGTACGTTCAGCGTATAACAATTAATGGCTGAGATGGACTCTTGCCGGATTCCTCGAAATGGATTTTCCAGTTTCGAAAATAGAAAGGAGTCACAAGAAAGTGCGTTGTCGGAATGAAAGATCAATATATTTTTTTATTCAAAAATCTGATCAACTTCTCAAAACGGTTTAGTAATATTCCTAATTGACAGATTGACACTATGGAATGAATTTATGGTGAAGCACACAACGGTAATCAAAGAAAACGATTAACATCACATTGATTTGTAACCTACTTTAAGTGGTTCTAATGTTTTCGGCTCATTTTCATGGAGTGCGATTCGGACGTCGTACCACACATGTCTCGTCACTCGTAATGATGGTGATGGAAAGTTCAAAATCAACTACAATGAAGTAATTTTTTCATAAGGAATATCGGAAAGATCAGTGAAAAATATTTTGAAAGATCATTTGGGCCTAAGAGAGCAGCATTGGTTCAACATCACTGAATTTTTCCAAAAAACTGTCTCGTTAAAGTCTTTGAAACAATGTTTTTCGACTACTAGGAAAGCATGAAACGTATGGTATTATGACTGGCGATGAGTCTTTCTTTGCTTACCAACCGGAATGAAACAATCAATCAGCCGAACATCGTAGCAAAAGTGAACCGATGCCGAAAAAAACCATGTAAGCATGCCAAAAATGAAGGTTATGTTCAGAGTTATTTACGGTTAACAAGGTGTGGTGCGTTCCGACTCCCTTACGACCGGCCAAATTATCAACAGGGAGTGTTGTCTCTCCGGAATTCTTCGAGAGTTTCAGACGAAGAAACACAAAGCTGAAAATTATCACAAAAAATTATTCCTTGAAATCTTTAAAAATTGTATTTCAAAGACCTGTGTAAAATTGAATGAAGATCAGTTAAGTAGTTCTCGAGAAATCTTGTTAACCCACTTCAAAAACACAGCTTCGAGGAAAAAGCGCTTAAAGACGCTTAAGCCTAACCAGTCCCAAGCGGAGAAACTCTCAAGACTGTGTGTAAAGTTACGCTTTAAGTGTCGTCTGTGACGTTCTTTGCCTATGGCAGTCTCTATTAGATTAATTGACAATTTTATTTATTTAGCTATGACTATTCTCTATTTTATTAAACCACGCTTTACTTTCGGTCGCTTTACTCTTGACCTACTGTATTATATAAACTTGTCAATCTCTACTCTCAATTAAAACTTTTCTAAATTGCGGAAAATATACCTATTGGCTTCCATATAAAAGTGACCATTAGTAAGCCAACAGTATTGTTGTAATTTAAATAATGGATGAGGCTTTCAAGTATTAACCATTTAAGTACTTATCAGTACCAACTTTAAACACACAAAAACCAAACAAAAATCAAAATTAATTTTTTTATTGCTTACGACTAATAAATCATGAGACATATATGTAGCATAAAATGTTCAGCTTTCGCTGTCAGATATAACCAATATGTAACCAATATATGTAATAAATAACCAATTAATAACCACTTTATAACCAAAATTCAAAATTTGTTCAATACGAGTGGTCTGTATTGTATCGCTTTCCCTTTGCCTCTAAAGCTATGGAAAGTGATGTTGCGTTATTTTGCATTTTAGGTGACAATATATAATAATAGGTTGTCAAAAAAGTCTTGCGGTATTTTTGCGGTATTTTTGCGGTATTTTTGCGGTATTTTTTTTTTTTATTGAATTTTCAATTGTTCATATAATTTTTTTTGATGACTCATGCCCAGCTCTTGACCGATGCTACGGCTGCTACTGCCGGTCTCTTTCGACCAATTCAGCGACTTAATCGCAATTTTCGACGGCAGGCCTTCCGGAGCGTGGCGCATCTTCGACCACCTCTACACCAGAACGAAAACGTTGAAACCATCGTTGTGCTGTGGCAATGGAAAATGTATCGGGTCCATAAACTGCACAAATTTTATAGGCGGCTTGAGATGCATTTTTGCCTTTATCGTAGTAGTACTGCAAAATATGCCGTGTTTTCTCTTTATTTTGCTCCATGTTTGCAACGCTATAACTCACGAACGACTTAAAAGAAACGACATTCAATCAAACACGTGTTAGCGTGCGAAATGAGCTTTCCAAAAAGGTATAGCATGCCCCGATGCGACGAATAAAACTAGAACTACGCGCTCTCAGCGCCAACTAGCGAAAATACCGCAAGACTTTTTTGACAAACAATATAATATCTGGGTTTTACTATCCAATTATACAATTTTTGTTTGTCGAAATGTAGCTCATGAACTGCATTCGTCGTAACCGCTGAGCCTTACTATCTGCCTTTAGATATTCACGGCGAGGAT